TATTCCTGTGCCCTACAGATGCTCACCCATCATCTGCTTTGAGTCTTCACGCTCTCTCTGCTAGCTCTGACTTCTTCACATCTCATTAGGCTCAAGAGAGGGTTCAAATGCCACGAAAATGATCTATTTTTGAGCATTATCAGATCAGGTTAGAAACACTGGTTCTCCCAAAAGAAGACATGTGCTCATGGGATTTCCCTGGCAAACCCATGAGAACCTGAAGGTCTACTGTTGGCAGCTGGATCAGGGTGAAGAAAGGAGCCATTTTCAAATTGTTAAGTTGTTAAAAAATTTCACATTATGTATTTCCAGCCAACAAAGCATGCTGGGCCCCTCTGCAGGGGCTGCCTCCATGTCGCATCCCCAAGGATGAAGTGACTGGCCGGTGCTTGCAGCTGGAGTCCCTGGGGCTGCCCAGGGAATGAGGAATAGCTGCACAGAGCTCAAGAAATGGGAAACTATTCACCCAAGATGAGTAAGCAGAGGGCTTCTAGGAGGAAAGAAAGACTTAATCAAAACATATCCCGCTCTTATTCCTGCCACTGCAAAACCAAAGCTGCGTGTTGTGCCAGAGATTGTGCTTTCTGAAGGGCTCACTGCTGAGAAGGGCAAAATGAGGTTGTTTACATCTGTTTTGCAGAGGGAGGAGGCTGATGTGGGGGATGGAAGAACCAAATCAAAACCAGAAGGAAAAACTGCCACAAAATTTTTAAATGATCATGTGTGATATGATTATGTTTATGCATTTATGTAAAATCATGTGTGTGTATCTATAAAGAAATTTGAAAAGAAGTTTTAAGAGGTCATAGGGTCTCAGCACTTTGGGAGGCCAAGGTGGGTGGATCACCTGAGATCAGGAGTTTGAGACCAGCCTTGCCAATATGGTGACACACTGTTTCTATTTTTTAAAAAAAATTAGCCAGGTATGGTGGCATGCAACTGTAATACCAAGTACCTGGGAGGCTGAGGCAGGAGAATTGTTGGAACCCAGGAGGCAGAGCTGCCGTGAGCCGAGATCACACCACTGCACTCCAACCTGAGCGACTCCATCTCAAAAAAAAAAGTCATCTGGGCTGTAGAAGCAGACAGACCTGTGTTTGAACTTTAGGTTCACCACCTCCTAGCTTGTGTGACCTCCCTGATCCTCAGTTTTCTCATCTATCATTATAGATGATTATAGAACTTCATTCATATGTCTTGGGGATTCAGTGATTACTATAGTACAGTGTTAGGTACCTAGTAAGAAAGTAATAAATGTTAGCTAATATTGTCAGTCATTGAGAGAAAACAGAGCCTAAAGGTTAAGATGTGGGGTGGGTGAGGGTAACTAGAGTTTTCAATTCTCCAGAAAGTCCTGTTTCCTCATGTTTCAGTCATAGTGAAATAATACCTAGCCAACCCTCTCTCTCTGCTCTTTCTTCCCCCTTCCTCCCTCCCTGTTTCTTTCTCTCCCCTTCATTCTTGATCTGTGCTGTCCTTCTGCTTGGGATATTTCTCCATTTACCTAAACGGGAAACTCTTCTCTATCTTTCAAGGTCCATCTTGAATGTCACCTCTTCCGTGAAATTTTCTATTCCTTTTTTAGGTTCCTATTTCCCAGCAGGAAGGATCGCTCTTCCTCGTCACAATGCACTACCTGCCACACACTGCTAGTACGGTCATACCATATGGCAAATGCTGTTTCTTGTGTATTTTCCTTTGGCAGAAGCCAATGTTGAGTTCCCTGAGGACAGAGATCATGTCGTATACTTCCTGGTTGTAGCAGCTCTGGCATGCAAGAGGTGGTCAAGAAGCAATTGCTGAATGGAAGCATAAAAAATCGAGGGTGGGCTGTGCGCGGTGGTTCATGCCTGTCATCCCAGCACTTTGGGAGGCCGAGGCTGGCAGATCACTTGAGGTCAGGAGTTCAAGACCAGCCTGGCCAACATGGTGAAACCCTGTCTCTACTAAAAATACAAAAATTAGCCGGGCGTGGTGGTGTACGACTATAAACTCAGCTACCAGGAGGTTGAGGCAGGAGAATCACAGGAACCTAGGGGCCAGAGGCTGCAGTGAGCTGAGATTGCCCCACTGCACTCCAGCCTAGGTGACAAAGACTCCATCTCAAAAAAAATTAAAATAAAAAATAAAATAAAATTGAGGGTGCTTGCTCTAAATGGGCTATGGCCAATTGCTCCCCACTGCAAGGAACATCAGAACGGAAATGGACTTAAGCTACCATATGGGAAACTTCAGTCAGTCTCAAAGAATTTCCTCAGTGAGAGTGTTAGATACCAGACCAAACTCCTGTGGGACAGTGTGGAATTTCCATGAAGGGACTTTACAAAGGAATACTTTTTTATGTTTGGGGGTGATTCTGATGTGGTTTTGCTTGAAGGCAGGTCTTCTTCACATGAGGTTCATGAAACAACCCGTAAGTAACCCAGATGACAGCACAGGGTCTCTAACTCTTGGTCAGCTGCTTCTCCAGATGGTTTTTTGTGCCCAGCACCAGCCAAGAAGGCTGGGAAAGAATGTGGCTGTGTGTGCCTGAGTGGAGGGTGGGAGGTCTTCCTCCCACGAGCTTGAATCCCAGTACGTGAGCAAATGGCGCATTTTGCCAAGGGTCACAAATTTACCCTGTGTTCAAGTGCCCAAGTCTAGTAACATCCAATTTCTTCCAGCCGTAACTGTGGAGTAAAACAGGAAGGAGGAACGGCAGTCTAGAGCAGCGCTTTTCCCACCTTTCTTTTTCCACTTGGTCAGCCCACCCAGGGGCTATGAGCACCTGCTGTGTGCCAGCCCTGGGCTGGGTACTGAGTGGAGATGAACAAGACCTAGTCTCTGTCCTAACTCAGCTGTTGATTAAGAGCAAGACGGGCCTCAAACATTTTAGGACAGATAATGAATTAATTATAGGCAGAAAGTACATGAGAGAGAAAACGGGTGTGGCAATAGGAGAAAGGTGGAACAGAAAGATGGCCATCCTCTACTGCCATCATGTCAACTTGCTCATCACAGGTGAGGCAAAAAAAGGCATTACTACTCCTTTTCTTTGTCACAAACGTCCAGAAAAGGTAGAAAAACAGTTAATAATTTAAAAAAAAAATCTTTCCAATAATCTACCCCACCCCCGAATCCCAAAAGGACATCCGACCAGTGTCAGAACAAACATTGCAAGTTTACGGTAGGCACAAGACCTGGAGGGTAAGATGTGATTTGGCACCTAAAGAACCCACACGTTCACGTCTTCACTGATTTGCTTCTTGGCCTTGGGGAGGCATCAAAGCTACCTGGGTTTCAGCTAATAGGAAATTGCAGCCGTCTTCCTGATGCCAAAGACAGGAGACGTGACAGATTTACAGGGTGACGGGAGTTGCCAGGTGCTGTGGGATACCAAGGGTCTCAGTGTTGATCATTTCAACTTAAAACCTTCTGGCTTTGGTCCTCACTGTCTGCTGTTGACTGGGTACTGCAGGGTGGCTTTCTGAAGGGTGTACCTGGCGTAGGCACGCCCCTCCCCTGCAGATGGTTATTCAGAGCTCTCCCATGTGAGGAACCTCACCCACCCCGAGCAGTTACCATGGAGGTTAGAGCCTCCCTTGGCTGCTGTGCAGGCTGCAGTCAGCCAATACCGAATAACCCCGCATAGTTAATTAGTGGCAGCATAGCTTGGTGCTATTAAAAGCAGGGCAAGCCAATGACACTGACACATTCGGGTAGGAGAGAAGTGTGGTATCTGAGTGGAGGTTGAGAAAGGACTGAGAAAGTAAGAAATTAGAGCCCAGACTTAATTCTCATGAGCAAGCATGTCTGGGGTCTGAGAAAATCTCTCATCACACTCATTCTCTAACATTTACCTAATTTCAACTGTCAATCAAAGCCACTTCTAACCCAGGTGCTCTTAGGACTAATCATGCAGTCAGAACTGAGTGAAAAACACCGAACAAAAATCGCAGGACGCGACGGTTTGCGCTCTGCTCTGAGTGGCTGCTGAAAGCAAAACGAAATTAAAAACCTTCTGCTAGGAAGGCATGAAAGTCGAAGTGACTGGGAAGTCTATTGGAAAGGCCAAGGACAAAGATAAAATACACATACACCACGTATTTCATTCTCCCCATGAAGGATCAGACACATATGTACCCCACACTCACAAAGCCTCGCCTAGGTACAGGATGACCCCACATGTGGGAGGCTTTGTGTGCTGGGAGAGTTTTCCAGAGGAGGCTGTCAACTCTGTGAGGGCAGCAGCTGCTGCCAGTCTGTGCTGTTCACAGGGGTAAACTAGTGCCTTAAGTGGCAAATGAGGACAAGTAGGCAGCTCACACGTGACCCACGCATTTAAATAGCCCCTTCCCCTTAGAACCAGGCACCAAGGGAGCCTCACATCTCTTCCTCCTCTCCCAGGACAAGCAGAAGCCTCACGCTCACTCCCCGGAGCCCTGGCCTCCCCCTGTCCCATCCTCTGAGCACGTCAGAGCCTTCTGTGCTTGCAGCGGAAGCTGGGAGCTCACTGGTCCCAGGGTGCCACTCAGAACATATCTGGAAGGGACATGATGAATGCGAAGACTCAGTGATCTGGGTTGGCATGGGACAGCACGCAACAATCTCTAAACAACTGATTAACAAATCAGCTGTGTGGGGGGCACTGCCTGTGTTCTGGCTCTGATGATTCCATCCTTGTGTTCATGAGGTTCCAGAAAACAGGCGATTAGAAAGTCAAATTAGGAAGAATAAAACAATATGTATTCTAAGAGAAATACGTTAGAAATGTGGACTATGACTCTTCGGGTTCAGTGGTTTAATGTGCCTGATGAGCAAATTCTCAGGTTTCCGAGCATCTGACCGCTTCCTAAATGGAAAGCAAAGCTTCTTAGAGCTCATCAGAAATCAGCACTGCGCTTGTCACCAGAAACTTCAGGAGCCAAGACTTGTGACCTTTCATCGTTGTCTATATATACTTATTTGAAGACACATTAAAGTATGTATTGAGTCAAACTCTATCAGAAACTCAACTAAGATACCACCAAATGGAAAAGGCATTTAATTCAAAAACCAGACATCCACTCATTTCGTGGGGATTGTCACATACACCAGCCAAATGTAAAAAAAACAAGTTTCAGAGGCCTCTGAACAGAAATTCTGTTTTCTTTATAGATATATTTTGTGACACAAAAGCACATTTTTTAAAAGGCTGAACATGGCAACAGGGCTACTAACAGGGACAAAGTTCTATTCTAGTCACAGATTACTTTCTAATTACAGCATTGGATTCTATGCACCAGTCAATAGTCAATACTGAAGTTTAGAACAGTGCATTATTTGTTATTTTAAAAGACAACATTAAAGTGCCATTACTAAGTACTTTATTGATATATCACACAGCACTTTACAGTATACTCAAAGGTAGCCTAAATTAGGAATTAAACATGCAAATATTTTCTTTTCTGAAATACGGACAAAACGTCTTTAGAGTGCTTTTAAGCACTAGCCGTAGGTACTATGCATTCATGGGTTTGATCTTTTTTGCAACATGACTTTAAATAAGTTAACAGAGAATACAGCTGTAGATAGTAACCATTTGATAAATACAAACACAGTTTTAAAATGGCACTGAATTTACATCTTTGACCATTTTAATGGGCAATCAACAGCCTGTCTTGTGTCTCTAATTCTCAACCTCCAAGTCTTAAAGGCTGTAAAGGCTCAGCAAGTACCAGCTCACGTGGGTCTCTATGAGTGTCTGTGTCTTCCTAGATGTAAATATGTGCTGTACACACACACACACACACACACACACACACACACACACACACAGAGAGAGAGAGAGAGAGAGAGGTACTTTAGAATCAACAGATGTACATTGTCAGATACAAGACAGATTCTGGCATCTGGATAGCCAAGAAAGTTGCTTTTAGGTGTCTGGACAAGTTTGTAGACATGGTTGATGTAGAATAGTATAGAATGTCTTAGCCTCTCCAGGTAACTGACATTTTGTTTATCAATACTCTGGTTCTGACTATACTAAAGCGAATTTTGAGATAATCTAACTGCTACCCATACATGGGTCCAGGACTGTGCTAAGCCTTTGCTCTCTAAACCATTCTACCTTGAGACGTGTTTACTTTGTAATGTCTGGCATAACTTTTGTAAAAATAATAGCTGTGAAGTTTTTCTCACCAGTCAGAACAGTATTTATCCTTCTAAAAAAGTAACCAAAGCTCCTTAGGATGGTTCACCTTTCTCTTTCTCTCTGGTCCTGGTGTTACTTTGAACCCAGCATTTTTACCTCCCAAGAATACAGGTGCTTCCACCAGAAGACCACATTTCAGCAGGACTAACTAATGACACCTGGATTCTCTCTATGGCCTTTCCCTCTACTTGGGAAGCTCTTTAGTTAGATAGACAGGTGCTGTAGGTGGCAGGAGAAAAAAACATTAATTACTTGTTGGAGTCTTGTCGCAGGCATGCTATGGGACTGTGCAAGATCACTGCTCTGCCGCTGTGGTCATTTTGATGCTACAATTACAGAGAAGTGGTTCAGCACCCAGCTGATTGGTGTTGCTGCCAAATACATTTGAGCAAGACAAGATAAATTTTTTAGATACCAGCACTGGATGTGGGAAAGGACATCCTGCTGACTTTATAAAGGGATATGGGGCAGGGTTGTCGAGGTAAGTGATTATTGTCAAGTTTACCAGAGATGATAGATAACTTCCTTGACAGAACACCTAGGTCATTCCTTTTCAAGTCAGCTAAGAGGCTGTTTGGTTTCTGCAGTGCTGGCTACCTACCTGTGGAATAGGATTGCTCATAAAACATTCAGTACTTGGGCAAACTCTGGATGCCATGGTGGCCACTGCTGTCTCTGGGAGCGTCATGTCCACAAAACTCAGTCATCCAGACTTGCTTTTGGAGCAGAAGCCAGAGGATGACAGGTGCCAACAGACCGGCAGGGATCAGGTTATCTTTGGCTTCTTGTTTCTGTCTCCCTCCCTCTCAACTGTGAATGCTTTCAGAGCCTCTGTAGCCAAGACAGGGCTTTTAGTGAGACAGTAGTTGCCATTTTCTGGCGATAGAAACTCAGGGGGTAGAAGTCCTTCCCTTTGAGCTGCAGGTACTGCTCACACAACTCTGCAGCTCTGGGCAAGTGCCGTGGAATGTCCTTGTCACTAGTATGGCTCCATCCTGCTAATGCCAGTCTGTCAATGCTTGATTGCTCATTCTTTCTCTTTGCCTCTCTGTCCAAAAAGCACTCGGTGAGAGGAAATGAACCAATGTTCAAAAAGACAGTTTGGTCTGACATAAGAAAACACATATTGGCCGTAGAAATACTTAAGACATTAAGCCTAAGACTGGCTCCAATTCTAGGACACAGAGGCGGGCCACACTGCACACGGTCCATCCCTATATATGTTTATTTTGAAAAACAGGAGAGATCTTCAGTCTCGAGCAAGTCAGGGTTTTACTTGCCTGGGGGCAGGGATTTGAAACTAGCTATCTTCTCCTGGTATGGCATTCTTTAGCTATGAAATTTTGCTAGTAACCTGAAGGAAGATAGGCTGACCTTAATACTCCTAAAACATTCAGACTCTGGCTAAGTGATCCCTGGGCCTTACAGAGGAAATTGGAGGTTACTGGGAAAGCTCAGGGATCCTGGGCCATGGTTTTCCACTCTGATAACCAATTCATTCTACTAATCTGCCCTAATGTTTCCTATTCACACAGAGAGTCAGAGGTAGGGGGCGTGGATAGGGGAGAGAGTAAAATCTTTTCGTCTTCAAGTTCCTTCCTACTCTTTGGCTCATATTCTGAAGATAATCCAGTTTTGTAGCTAATAGGAAGGAGGGGAGCCTGGCTGGGCAAAGGGAAACAGAGCAGCCATCTGTCATGGGCACCGTTATAGCCACAGGGAAGCTGGGGAGGGAGTTACCTAAAAGATCCATTGGCAGCAGCTCTGTTTCCCCCGGTTTCAAATCAGAGCCAACTCAGGAGGGAGAGACATGCTTCCAAGCAGTGAAGCTGGGGCCAAGTGTCTACAGGAATGCTTCATGAGGCACTCCCAAAGCAAGGATTTTGGCCTCCTGTTCTTCCACATGAGCTCCCGGTAAGTTTATGATGGGGCAGATGACAACTTCAAACATCACATGTGGTCGGCCGCAGTGGCTCACACCTGGAATCCCAGCACTTTGGGAGGCAGAGGCAGGCAGATCCCTTGAGGTCAGGAGTTCAAGATCAGCATGGCCAATGCAGTGAAATCCCATCTCTACTAAAAATACAAAAAACTATCTGGGCATGATGGCTCATGCCCATTGTCCCAACTACTCGGGAGGCTGAGGCAGGAGGATCGCTTGAACCTGGGAGGTAGGGGCTGCAGTGAATTCCCATCTCTACTAAAAATACAAAAAACTATCTGGGCATGATGGCTCATGCCCATTGTCCCAACTACTCGGGAGGCTGAGGCAGGAGGATCGCTTGAACCTGGGAGGTAGGGGCTGCAGTGAGCTGAGATCACACCACTGCAACCCAGCCTAGGCCATAGAGTAAGACTCCATCTCAAAAAACAAATAAACAAAGACAAAAAACCCCATCAAATGTGTTAAAAGCATTATGTTGGTCTCTCCTTGGAGGCACATTCCCTGAGGGCCCATTTCCCAATGTCTTCTTGTCCTCAGGTCCACATAACTAACCTATTAGTATATTCTCTTTCTTCTAGAGTTTTCCCTGATGGCCTTCTTGGTTCTAACTTGGTCCTGTCCATTCTTAATTCTTATTCCCTGAATCAATGGTAGTGTCTCACTTGCTCCTGGGTGAATTCCTGGAAAAGAGCCGTATAATCCTTGAGCTGATAAACTGAGTAGTGAATCACAATGGCAAACCCGTTAAATTTAAAACCACCTGTAAAGCTCTGATGGCACAATCTACATCCCTTCTGGAGTCTTCTTCTTCTTTTAGGATCATAGGGAATTGGAGGTGAGAGGGAAGAGTTTAAAATGTTTAGGGAAAGGGAAAGCAGCAGCACATTGAGAACTAAAGATTCTAAGAAGTTGGTTTTTTAAGAACCTACAGATGCACACAAAATCTGAAAATAAGCGAACTCATCTACATTTCCAAAGCCTCAGAAGACGTGCAGTAAAGAAGTAAGGAGCACAGCAATTGACTCATCTCTTTCTGTCCTGATATCTAGGGGGTACCAAGAAATACACCTGAGAAGAAAAACAAAAAATCATATGCCTGGACCCACCTATTGAAGTCCTGAGCTTCCTCTTACTACCAAGTAGGCACTCTTTGAAAAACTCATTGCCTGGAGATGCTCTTCCCATCTCCAAATCCAAAGCCCAAGGAATGCTCAGAAACACATAAAGAAGACTGAACACCACTGATGAGTCATGCCCAGCAACAGGACAGCAGAGAGCAAGGGCATGTGCTCTCCTTCCTTCAGGCCGAAGCGGGGACAGCAACCTTGACTCTCTCCAGCCTTGCCTCCTCTCTCTCCCTCTTAAACATACCTGTTCAGCAATCCAAGCCTAAGTGTATGAGCAACTAGCTTAAAGAATATCAAATATAAAACTTTGCCATATAGTATTTCAAATCACACTATTTACAAGTTTATCTTTTCAAAAAAAAAATGTAAAAGATACAGTAATTCAACACAATTCAAGTTTTTCTTTTCTTCTTTAAAGTTCCCTAACAAGGAATTCCAGAAACAGGAAACACTCTGAAGCAACACTGCCATCCAAGGGGCTCCTGGGGAGCCTGAGGGTCCATCAGTTTGTGGTCTGTCTAGAGTCACCCTTGCAATGATGTTCACATGTGGGAGATATGGATGAGTCCGCTGTTTGAAGGCCAAGTGAATTTGAAATGTCCAGGCAGAACTTCCCCATTCAAGGCAGTCTTCATAAGACCCAGCCTCTTTTCATCAGAAAATTCCCTTATTCAAAGGGTACCCATCCCACCCTCCAATCTTTGGTTTCTTCCTGAATCACAATAACCAACATTAGTCTCATGCCTTGAAAGACTGAGAAACAATTCCCTTTTTCTGAATGGCAGTGAACATAGATGTCATTTTAAGCTACAGGCCATAAGGTTAGCCTAGGAATCATCCTTGAAAACCACTACAGCACCAGTGTTCAGGAGCACAGAGCAAGGCAAGGGGGCGGGCCAGGGGTGGGTTAGAGGCAGGCAAGGGTGGGAGCAGGGATGGGTGAATGGGAGGACATGGGGGAACCAGTCAGATGACATCACCCATGGGGAGGCAGCATCTTACCCTTTAGAAAGCAAATGTCTGTTGCATGAAGGAACAGAAATATTAAGACTATGTAATTCAATCTCAAGAGGTTACTAGAGTGTGCTCCAAATATATCCTGATGCTGCTGAAATTCATCAGACAGGGAAGAGTCCCAGCTATTATCCCGTCTGCCTCAAGCAGACCACCCTAATTCCTTGATCTTTTGCTTCTAGTTGTTAGGAAACCATTCAAAAAAGTATACCAAAAAGGTGAGGGGAAAAAAAAAATGTGTCATGCAAAGAGGATGTGTTTTTTTTTTTTTTGGCTTGGTTTTAGAGTAGGTTGGGTTGCTGTGGTTACTAGGTGATGGATAGCAGCCTTGGTGGCAGAGAGGTTCCTAGCCTGGGAGGGAGAAACGCAGGGTGTGTGTATTCTTGTGCATGAGAACACTGGACTGAATCTTGCTGATGACAGCCAACGGCTGCTTTAGAGATGGTGAGAGATTGAATCTTATATAAACAGTGCTTTAACCCTCTTCATCCTGCATGCAAACAGACCTAGCTGCCTGTAGCACTATAGATCTCAAGTACTGAGAGGTGGAGTAGAGAGAGTGCCTACTGTAAACGGAAGCAATGATCCAGCCTGGATCTCAGCGCCAATTTCTTTACCCAGCCCCATCAGACTTAACTACGCAGTGTGTTCTGGGGTACTGCTATCTGACTTCCTCTTTCCGAAGGCTGGGTGTTCGGACTCCTGAAACAAAATGAGTGCCCCCTATTTAGGATACTCATGAGAAAACGGCTTTGCAAGTCTTTCTCTCAGTTATCAAAATCAGATGGCCTCTGCTGATTGACTTCTGTTTCTTGCAGTATTGATGAGTATTGGCTGAGATGATCATGGAGATGAGTGACACCAGAGCTCACAGAAACATTCATGTTGACAGGTAGCAACAGAGTCAGTCACGCTGCATTTCTCGGTGGCAAAGAGAAATGGCCTATGACACTGGAATCAGCAGTTGTCATGGATACCATGTAAAGCTCAGCAGTTCTGCTGGGGCCCACGGTTAGAGGAACTCCACGTAGTTCTCAGGGATGAGGCCAGTCTTTCCATTCAGAGTCCCCTCCAACCAGCCAGGCTCCTGAGACGGGTGAACTGTACAGGAAGGGGAGAGAAAGCGAGAAGAGATGACGTTATAGATAGAGCAGGCGGCAGATGTGTGTGGGGGGTGTGTGTGCGGGGGTGGGTGGGGTGTGTGTGTGTGTGTGTGTGTGTGAAGGAAGCTTGGACAATGATTACAATCACTTGTTAAATTACATCATTCTAGAAGTTTAAACCAGAAGTTCTGAACTTTTTGTGGGATATAAGCCTTCTGATGAAAGCTGTTCTGAACTTTCTTCACAACAAAAAAGGAAACAGACACAGACATTCAAAAATTTACAATTTTAGGGGTTTCATGAACTTTCTGAAGTTCGTTGTTTAAACTATAAAGAAGTGACAAATTACTACTTTGTAGGTTAGAGGGCAAAAGTTGTCCTGGTCCATCCATATATGTATCCATCCATCTGTCCGCCCACCCACCCACCCACCTGCCCAGTATCAACTATATACTGAGTGCAATGTCCATGGAAGACTGCTAAGAACTAGTCTTTAAAGATATCCAGCTTCTAGAGGCTGGGCCTGGTGGTTCATGCCTGTAATCCCAGTACTTTGGGCGGCTGAGGCAGGTGGATTGCTTTAGCCCAGGGGTTGAGAACAGCCTGGGCAACATGGCAAAACCCCATCTCTACAAAGTATACAAAAACTAGCCAGGTTTGATGGCACGTGTCTGTAGTCCTAGCTACTTAGAGGAGGGGGAGTGCTGAAGGGGAGGATCACTTGAGCTCAGTGATTGCACCACTGTACTCCAGCCTGGGCGACAGAGCAAGACCCTGTCTAAATCAATCAATCCAGCTGCTAATCATCATCTTACTTTCCTTCAAATCCTTACCCCTGCTTCTAATTTCCTTGCGCATTTTCTGGGTTTCTTTTTTTTTTTTTTTTTTTTTTTGGTGGTTGTCATTTTGAACAGCCTTTGAATAGCCATTTTTCTGTTTTGCTCACACCCTTTCTTAGTTTTCTTTCCTGTTCTCTAGGTTTCCCCCTCTTCTAAATACCAGTTGGAAAATTGTTTTCTTCCTCCTTCTATTGCCCTTTGATTTTTCAGTATCCAAAGAATATATATATACTTTTGTGACATCATGGTCCATCTCCATGGAAACCATTGTGATATTATAAAGATTATATAAAATCCAGCTGAGTCTGCAAAGTAGCCAATAGCAGGAAGGAAGAGAGAAGGAATCATGGGACTAAGAGGTGGGGGATGTTCATGCTTGTCAACTGAAGATATACAGATCACTCTGGGGCGAGGCAATGAAGACATACAGATCACCCTGGGGTGAGGCAATGAAGATATACAGATCACTCTGGGGCGAGGCAAGGCATTTACTCTTAATGTGGTAGGAAAACTCCAATTTTCCAAGATTATTTGGAGAGAATAGATTTTCCCCTATTCCCTTCCTGGGCTAATTAAATGACTTCCTGAGCTTGTTTTAGAAAAGCATTTCCGCCCCGATGCTGCTATTGAATTCTAGTTTCAGTTCGTAGGGAAAGAAGCAAGAACAGAAACCAAAGGAGGCAAATGGGAGGCAGCAAAAGAACCGGCACTGAGGCTTCCAGAAGATCAGCATCAGTCAACTTCGGGCACACCTTAAGTGCCTCCTTAGGAAAAGACAAGGCCAAACATCTACTATTTGGTCTCCAGAGTCGGCCAGTTTCAGAACACTAGGCTTCAGGAATAAACAGCAAGGATACTCTGGGTTCATGACAACCCATACAAGAGAGAGTCTGGGAGAGAAGTGCCTTGGAAGAAAACAGAACTTAAAAGCAATCTGGCCTCTCCAATTACCAAAGCTCTCCCATGCTACTCTTAAAGAACACCCCAGTACTCCTGCCCTCTGCCCATCCAACCAAAGCTTCCAAGATTACTTCAGTTTCTGCACTTCATACTGGCAACAAGACTCTCTTCCCTTTTGTGGGTTCCTGCAGGTATGAAAGGACCTAGTGTGGATAAAGCACTCTGCACAGAGCCACGCACAGAGCAAATGCTCAGTGCAGGCTAGTCGGTAGGAGACCCTGGATTGGGACTGCTCGGCAAGATCCCCTTCCAGTAAAAACCTAGTAAAACCAGATGGCCCTTACCACCTACCTAAGCTTCAGAAAAAATCAAAGGTTTAGAACAAAATTATCAAACTAATTCTCCAAAACGAAAGACCTAGCAAGAATAAAGTAACCAAACTGACAAAACAAGAAGCCAAAACCAGGCCCTCCTACTTTACAGCAAAGCTCTCAGTGGAGCTGTTCTACCAGATGCTCTGAGTCCATCTCCTTCAGTCCTTTCTCCTTTTCCTGGTCGGGTATTCAAACACAGCACAGGTACAGGGGTGGAAACACTTACAATGCAATTTGGGGACTCAGGGAAGAATTAGAGGGGACAAGAGAGGCCCTCCAAACTGGGGGCTAAGAAGTAGGTCACAAGATAACACAGCCTTTGGCTTGGCTGCTGACTCACTGAGTCTTCAAGCCAGCGTTTACTAAAGCATACATCAGACCATGTGCATCAGAACCCTTGGGATGCTTATGCAAATTGCACATTTCTGGGCCCCATGGCAAATCAATTAAAGCAGAATCTCTGGGAGTAGGACCCTGGAACCTGTATTTTCACTAACTCACAGAAAGTTAGGAGCTGTAACTTTTCTGTGCCCAAATGCCTCTGAGTTAAAATGCAAATTTTCATTTACTGATGGAGGAGGGAGGCAGCACCACATACCCCCTCTCCCCTTCTTTCTGCTGTCTTCTGTTTCCACATTAAGGCTTAGCTGCTTAAGGCCTTTGAGAAGCCCCACTTTCTTCATAAATATTACCATGGAATCCCTTCTACCTGCTCCCTCCTCCTCCAGACTCCTGAAATGTTCATAGTACATCCCACATAGTATTCAGGGGTCCTATTTATATGCTGTTCAAATGTGCTAAGCTTTGCTTCTCTATCTAGTTTTTCAGTGTGTTTTGGTTTGGATTATAGCACTTCCTGGCTCGACAACCTTCAGTAACGCCCTTCTGCTTCGTGAATTATAATGATATAAGCTAACACTTAGATCTATTATGAAGCTGCCGTGTGCTTAGAGTATTAGACATATTGATTAATTTGATCCTCAATATCTTAGTTTGTACTATCACTATCTGTACTTTGCAGATGAGAAAATTAAGGCTCAGAGAGGTAAATTAATTTGTGCATGGTCATAATACTAGAACCAAAATTTGAACCCCGCTTGTTTGACTCTGGAGACCAACCCCCTTCCCACTATATCAGGCCTCTATTTAACCAGAGGTGTGACCCTTGCTGACAAGGATGATAACACATGTTGAGCACATGCTAGGCGGCAGACGCTTGTGAATATGCACGTCACACCTCTATTTCCCGGTTCTGTCTTCAGAATGACTATGGAGTCGGTTCTGCTATTATCCTCACTTCACTGATAAAAAACTGAGGCTCAGAAAAGTTAAGTTTCTTGGCCAAAATTAAATATTAATAGCTGGCAGATGATGCAAGTAATCAGAGCCCAGGACATCTGATCCCAGAGTCTGTCGTCTTAACTACTACTCCTGTTGCCTGGCCCAATGCTCTGAACTTCAAAGATGCTAAGTGCTTGTTGGGCTGAATGGCGCCAATGTCCAACACTGAACTGTACCAGGGTCCAATATGCTGTATGAACACAAAAGGTATTGCTGCAATCTGCCTGAGTGGCTCTTCAGCCCAGTGAGCATATACTAAATATAAGCTGCTGGGGACTTGGGCTGACTTCCTGCTAACCAACCACTGTCTCTCAGCTATGCCCCTGTGTACACAATACACCCTGCATACACAACTCATGTCTTCTGCCCTCCTTCGCTCACCATGGACAAGGAGCAAGTGTGTGACTAAGGTCTCTAGTGGCTGACTGTCCCCAAAAGAAGTCTTAACTAAAAGAGGTGAAGACCCCTGGGTAATTTACATTCACTCATTTAACAATGTTTACTGAGCACCTACCACATGCTATAGACACCATGCTAGGTCCTCACTTCTATATTCATAGCACAGAACAAGCAAATAAGATTTTGCTCTCGAGGAGGGACAATCAAGCAATAATCAAGCATATAATGTTGGGTAGTAGGAAGAGGAGAGAGACAGACTAGAGCAGTGGGTGGTGCAAGTGCAATGGCCCTGCGATGGGAAAAAGCTGACGTGACTTTAGAAGAGTGGTGTGCATGTATTTCTGAAAGGGCCTCGTAGTGAGTGTGTCTCTCTCCTCTACTCTGGCGTTGTTGTGCCATAGATAACATGCACACACAAAGGCATTAGTGCCTATGTTCCAGTAAAGCTTTATTTACAAAATGGGTGGTGGGTTGGATTTAACTGGCAGGTCATGGTTTGCTGACCTTACTTGAGAACATAAGGAGGCTGCTGCAGTATGTCAAGTGAGGATGAGAGGAGGTCAGAGAGGGTAGGAACTGGGCCCTGGAGGGCCTTGTAAGTAATTCTCAGAGCAGTGGGAGGCCACTGATAGATTTTAAGCAGGGAATCAAATATGTGGTTTTCATTTTCAAAGATGACTCTTGCTGCTGTGTGAAGGGGTTATGGGAACAAGTGTGGAAGCGAGCAACAAGATGTGTTTGGCAGTCAGTGGAAGCGTCCAGGGGAGATGTGGAGGTGGCCTGGGTTTGGGTGTGGCAGTGACGATGGCTGGGGAAGCTGAAGGACATACCCGACTGCTCTCCTGTTAACCCATTTCCTAGGCAGCCTGGGGGCTCCCCAGTGAGGATATTCTCCATCAGTAAAGGAAACTTGGGACAGCCCTGCCATGAGGTGGTGCTGCGTCAGATACCATGGGAATGAATGGATTCAGCTCCTGTCAAATCTTGTTAAAAGTATCCCTAGAACCCAATTTTAGTGACTGCCATGTGCATTTTCCAGGTATCACGAATCATGTGGCTTCAAGATGACTAATGTTACTGAGAATGTGAGCTATTTCTCTTTCCAATTACTGTCTGTGGTGCTCTTGTTGAAATGGACAGTTTCCCAGTAGATTGGCCAGGGCTGACACTGGAATTATTTCTAGGTATTGCATATCCATTTCCCACTGCACAAAGTCCATGAGCTGACAGCAGTAGCCACTCCAGAGTCACAGTAGGGGCCCCTGGAATCCAAAGGCTTTGCGATTAATCATTACAAAACAACACACTTTCTCCTTCACGGGCCCTTCCCTTTTCCTTATTCATTCTTCTTAATCCTGAAACACACACACACACACACACACACACACACACACACACACACACACACATGCTTTTTTCTGATTGGTTTGATTTAATCTGCCAGCTACACAGCATAAAAATTAAACAGCCCTTGCCTAATATCCCCAGGGTAAACTAACAAGTGATGGAACAAGGAAAAAGACCCGTCTGCCTGACAGAATAAATAATAGTGTTCTTCTGTAATGCCTCATTTTCTCCTATAGAAGTGAGGGGTGGGGAGGAAGAGGGTCTATGTAAGCATTTTTCTTTGGAAAGAAGACCTAATAACATATTTGCAGCTAACCCAATTGAGAAAATGTGCTAACATTTCATCAGGTCCATTTTCTACTGCAGCTCAGAGGTGTTTTCTTTCAGGTTTAATTTGGCCTTCTGCTCCTCAGGGAATTTGAAAGGTCACTGTCAAGGCTGGTTAAAAACAAACCAGTTACAGTGAACTCTGCCATGACTCCTAGAGACCACAGGAAGGCTTGAGTAAGGCCTCTCACTTGTTCCACCAAACTTCCCTTCTGCTCTCATCTACCAACACATATAGGATTTATAATGATTACCATGCTGTGGATGATAGCAGATACAGAACCTGCTAGGTGACAGGTGGCGGGTTGGATTTGACCGGCAGGTCATAGTTTGTTGACCTTATTTGAGAACATGAAGAAGGCTCATGAGGCTGCAGTATGTCAAGTGAGGGCGAGAGGTCAGAGGGGCAAAAACTGGGCCCTGGAGGGTCTTGTAAGTAATTCTCAGAGCAATGGGAGGCCACTGAAGGACTTTAATGAGATTTCCATTTTTCAAAGATCACTCTCGCTGCTGTGTAAAGAAGGGGTGACGGGAGCAAGAGTGAAAGTGACAAGATGTGTCAGGCGGCCAGTGGCAGCGCCCGGGTGAGAGGTAGAGGTGGCTAGGGCTTGGATGTGGCCATGAAGATGGCTGTGGAAGCTGAAGGACATTCTGCTGGGAAAAAAAGGACTTGGTAGTCAACAGTTATCCACGCTTTTCTTCTCTTCTGGTCTTTTTTTCTCCTTTATGCTTAACTATTTAAGCCACTGCAGAAAGACTTAAAAATGAAAGAAGTCAGGAACATAAAATGGTGTAACTTCTCTCTTTTTTTTTTTTTTTTTTTTGGAGACAGAGTTTTGCTCTTGTTGCCCAGGCTGGAGTGCAATGGCGTGATCTCGGCTCACCGCAACCTCTGCCTCCTGGGTTCAGGCAATTCTCCTGCCTCTTGTTTGTGAAACAGTTTGGTGTTTCCTCAAACACTTAAACGCAGAGTTAATATGCCCAAGAGAACTGGAAACCTAGGCCCTCACAAAAACTTAACACACATGTTCACGGCAGCATTATTCAAGTAGCCAAAAAGTAGAAACAATATGTCCATCTACTGATGAATGAGCTTAAATAAAATGTGCCGTATCCATACCATCGCACATAGAAGGAGTAAGGCTCTGACATGCTATAGCATGGATGAACCTTGAAAACATTGTGCAAAGTGAAGAGGCCAGTTTCAAAGATCAGATACTGTATAATTCCATTTGTATGAAACGTCCAGGGCAGGCAAATCTAGGGAGACGAAGTAGAAGCGTGGTTGCCTTGGGCTGGATGGAAATGGGCTGTGGTAAATAGGGCGTGACTGCTAAAAATACGGGGTTTCTTTTGGGGGTGATGAAAATATTCTGGAATTACATAGTGGTGATGGTTGCACAACTCTGAATATACTAAAAGCCACTGAATTGTCCATTTTGAATGGGTAAATTGTATGTTGTGTGGCTATCTTAATTAACTGCTGGAAAATGGAAGGCTGCACTCACAGAACGAAATCACAACTAAGATAGAAGCATATACATAACTTTTGATAGTTTAAACAATTCTGCCCCTGAAAGCAGGAGTCCTTTGTGTTGTCAGAGGGAATGGCTGATTGGAACATGATGAATTCTTGCCCATGTGAGCAGTAAAGTGGGACTTAGAGGACAGATCTTTAAGCCCTGGATTCACCTGCCAATGTAGAAATATCTCAAATCCTGCTCATATACAGGCAGAAGCCCCTTCCCTGCTGACGAAGCAGGGCACAGAAGCCCAAGCAATGCAGCCCATCTGGTTTGTCTTTTGTGAGAGCCATGTCAGGTTACGGCAAGGCTAGGACTCCGCCGCCTGGGCCTATGCTGGGGACAATCACCAGTGAAATGGCTTTGGAACCTTCAGCAGACCCACTGCACCTGCACTGCACCTGCAGTCTGCTGGGGCCTGCAAGCACCAGCCATGGACAGGAGAGGTGGCTGGGCTGGCTGTTAGTGCGCTTTGATTCATAAAGGGCCCAGATGAGAGTTAATGGAGCAAAGATTTAAGGACAGCGCTTGAGGCGTTGAGAACTGTAAAAGGGAATGCAGACTCAGAAGGCCAAAAGTTGTGTGACCTGGGAAACCCCCATGCTCTGTCCCTTGTTCCCCCTTCTGTCTACCCGTGCCTGGTGGATACCTCTGCTATGCTGAATGTAGGGGCTGGGCAGACACAATGACAGCCTCTTTGGATCTGCATACAGTCAAGGGCTGGTCCCCAGGAACCCATCTCTGCTCTGGCCTGGAATGTAAGACCTTTACATATGTAGCCAGGACCCATGGAGGCAGGTGCAGCATCCACTGCCCAGACAAAAGTAAGGAAAAACTCACTGTGAACTATAAGAGCATCAGGGCCTTTTGTGAAGATGGATACAATGATGATGATGGTCTTAATAATAAAAATATTAACTTACTGAATACTTAATATGTGTTGAGTACCATTTTAAACATGTGACGTGTATGATCTCTCAAAGCCACTTCCAAGTTCTGGGCTGGGTCTTCTGCAGGCACAATCTCATTTACTGTGGTAACAACTCAACTCAGAGCTGATTACATTAGTCTACTCTTCAGTGTCTCCCGAAACCAATACACACACACACACACACACACACACACACACTCTCTCACACAGTCTCTTTCTCTTTCTCTCTCAGTTTTTTGCTCTTACCCATTGTATTGAGATTTTCCCTAGGAAGGAAGTTTGAAAATGCCAGTTATTTATGGGCTCCCTTTGCCCCCGCCTCCTGCCCATATCTTTGTGAGGAGATGAGAAACTCACCATTATCGAAGACCGTGCCTGCTGTGAACGAAAGTTCTGAGTCATGTTCAGCTTTGCAGGCATACAAGGCTTTTGCCTTCCGGAATGGTGTGCTGTGTGAAAACAGGAGTTTATTTAACATTTTTGAAAAAACCCTTAGAAAGCCCCAGACATTTAATCTCTTTTCTTCCTTTTCCCTGTAAGCACCTAGTCCCCTCTCGTGGGAAGTGCCTGGCAAGGCAGCCAGATGGCAAGACGTGAGGTGGGAAAGCTGCAAAGGTCACAGGAGAAAAACGAGAAAAATTCAGAGAAAAGCCATAAGCTTCAAGAAAGCACCCTTCTTGTGGGGTCACCTTGTGCCATGTTAAAACTTTACCTGGGAGTTATAACAGCCAAACAACAGGAGGGCAGGCTGGGCCCCCCCTTTTTTTTGGAAGCCAAAGTGATGGGGGAGGGGAGGGAGGCAGGGGCAGGAAAAAAGTTCCAAGCTGCTCTGGGGAACACACTCCCAACAGACCCTGTTGAAAGCTGGCAATGCTCAGCGAGTCAAAAAGGAGGAATTCCAACAAAGCCAAGTTTCAGTTCCAGGCCACGGGTGGACATGAGTTCCCCCAGATGTTCTTGATTTCTTACCAGGCTGGGTCTTGCTGGTGGGGCAGGATTCCAGAACTGGAGCTCTCCAACCCTCAGGGGAGGGAACAGACAAGGTGTGTGAGGGCAACTACACATGTGTGTGCATGAGTACACATGTGCACCTGTATGGGGAGTGTGGGGAGGAGGGAGAAGGGAGAGGGACACGAGGCGTTTTGTTTTTGCTCTTCTCATGTCAGGTGAGTGTTGACAATTACTCTCACTGTGCGTTCGAATCATCTGAGGAGCATTTAGAAAATGCAGATGTTCAGCTTCTACCCAGATGTGCAGATATTACATAGGCATCGGTATTTTTAAAAAGCTCTCCAAGTGATTCCAATGTGCAATGAGGGTTGAGAACCACTGTTCTAGAGCAGAGAGTGGTAAACTTTTTCTGCAAAGGGCCGGGTGGTAAATATTTTAGGCTTTGTGAGCCACATGGTCTCCATTGTGCAGGGCCATCAGAGTAAAGGTTATCTAGAATTTATTGCTGGGGCGCATTTACTGTTGTTCCCTCTGGTTTTCTTGGAGCCAATATATAATGGCCAGGTGGGAAATCATTAGGAAAGTGGGAGAAAATGAAGTGGGACCCCCGGGAATAAAGGAAAGAAGTGTCTTTAGTATTCCTCAGCTCCAACAGGAAAACACATCTTCCTGTCTAATTATGATTAAATAATAAAGTTCAGGACAAGGGGCATAGTCTGTGATCCAAAGAAACCAAGTCTGTGTGTTGGCCAGCAAGGGTCAAACATCCTTTGTGCACCTTTCCAGGGAGGAACATAAGAGGCTTTTCTTGGGGGTGCTGGGAAGCAGAGAGGAGGAGTGACTTAGCTGTGAAAAGTGCTAAAACAGATAAAAGACTATACTGACAGGCAAATGGAACCTGTTAGGACATTGAAGGTGAAAGGAGGCTCCAGTTCACATTAGCCAGGGTCTCAGAGACCAGGTTTTGAGGCAGTATTTCTGCCTTTTGAGGTTAGGGCAGAGCAGGTGGGTAAAAAGCAAAGAGACCAGGGAAGGGGGAATAAAAACTAAGGGAAACAGCATCGGAGGCAAGGCTCCTCTGGCTGGATTTTTGCAGACATTACTAATTAATCTCGTTAAATAAAGGTAATAGGACAATACAGGGGCAAGCTGGGAAAGCAGCAGAGGTATTTGGCAGGCAGAAATAAAAGGGAATCGTCTTAGGTGCCCAAGATTATCATTTAAAAGGAGTAACATTCCATTGATATTAGGTTTTTGGAATTGAGTAATGAAGTGGTAATAACTAGTATATTACAAAAATAACAGGCTAGGCACTGTGGCTCACACCTGAATCCCAGCACTTTGGGAGGTGGGAGGATTGCTTGAGCCCAGAATTGAAGACTGGACTACTAGGAGACCTCCATCTCTACAAAAGATAAAAAAATTAGCCAGGCATGGTGGGACACGCCTGGAGTCCAGGTTACTTGGGAGGCCGAGGCAGGAGGAATGCTTGAGCCCAGGAGGGTGAGGTTGCAGTGAGCTGAGATTGCACCACTGCACTCTAGTCTGGGCCATGTAAGATCCTGTCTCAAAAAAAAAAAAATAATAATAATAATTAAAACAAAGGCCAAGAAAGGGCCTTGCTTTTTTCTCAAGTTGATAGGTAACCAACAGTCTATGGGACGGCCTTTTCCCTTGAAATCTCCCTCTACTGCCTTAGGATAGGCACAAAAATGGGAGAAATGACGGGGCCATTCCTGTTCCCCAAGAGTAGGGTTGCCAGATAAAATACAGGACACCTAGCTAAATTTGGATGACAGATTAAACAATAAATATTTCTTTTCTTTTTTTTTTTCTTGAGCCGGAGTTTCGCTCCTGTTACCCAGGCTGGAGTCCAATGGCGCGATCTCCGCTCACTGCAACCTCCGCCTCCTGGGTTCAGGCAATTCTCCTACCTCAGCCTCCTGAGTAGCTGGGATTACAGGCATGCGCCACTGTGCCCAGCTAATTTTTTGATTTTTAGTAGAGACGGGGTTTCACCATGTTGACCAGGATGGTCTCGATCTCTTGACCTTGTGATCCACCTGCCTCGGCCTCCCAAAGTGCTGCGATTACAGGTGTGAGCCCGGCCCAAATATTTCTTTAGTATACGTTATGTCCCAAATATTGCATGGGACATTTGTATACAGAAACATCTGTGTTGTTTATCTACCATCTAAATTTAACTGGGTATGCTGTATTTTTTATTTTATTCGCTAAATCTGGCAACCCTACCAAAAAAGTCTTATCTTCTTAAAAGCTTGTCAGACCGACAAGTCAAGTACCCTATAACTCCTTCTCGAAGGCCTTAAGTGGTTTGCTTTAGGTAGGGTTCCTACCAAAACAGACAAATCCTGTTGGCAGAGAGATTATGTTTGTAGGTTTTGGCTCTGATTAAAAAAAATAAAAAATCTCCACCAGGCATCATTGGTTCTTTGGCTTCCTGCTCTCCACAGTGCATCTCAAAACTGGATACAGAGAGCCTGGGGTAGTTTTCGGCTGCTCTGGTCACAGAGCCCTTTGGACCTCAGCAGGGCCTTTATGGGCATGAATATGTTTGGATCTTCCTGCTAGTTTTCTTTTAATTTTCGCCTCTGAGCATGGCACAAGGCCTGGAAAGCACTCAGAGGAGTTTTCCTCAAATGCCCTTGCAAGCCTTGCAAAATGATGACCCATTCTCTATCATATGGCACTACAGGGAGGTGGGGCCAGCTAGACTGGCAAGTGGCGAGGGGTTGATCATTTAGGCATAATTTCCAGGGACCCCTATGCAAATACGAGTTATGGGTTTGGGACTATAGGCTTTTTGTGGGGAGGGGTGAGCAAGTGGAAGAAAAAGGAACTGTGGAGGGAATGTGTCTCCCACACCCTTTCTCTACTGTGCTGCAAAAGGCATCTTCATTCCTGAGCCTGAACAAACAAACTCTACAAATGGTTTGAAGAGGGGACAGTGATATAGTTTGGCTCTGCGTCCCCACCTGAATCTCATCTGGTAGCTCTCATAATTCCCATGCTGTGTGAGGGGCTTGGTGGGAGATGACTGAATCATGGGGGAGGATCTTTCCTGTGCTGTTCTCGTGATAGTGAATGGGTCTCATGAGATCTGATGGTTTTAAAAAATGGGAATTTCCCTGCCCAAACTCTCTTTTTGCCTGCCGCCATCCATGAAAGATGTGGCTTGCTCCTCCTTGCCTTCTGCCATGATTGTGAGGCCTCCCCGGTCATGTGGAACTGTAAGTCTGTTAAATACCTTTTGCTTCCCAGTACAGGGTATGTTTTTTATCAGCGGCATGAAAACAGACTAATACAGACAGGAAGCAATTTCCAGAGGAGACATCATTCAGTTCATGGGGCCACTGATTAGGGCCAATTCAGTATTTACTTTTAAAGGCTTTGCTCAGGGAAGAAAATCTGAAGCTTCATGCTCTGGAAGTGGATTTGGGGGAGGCCCCCCTGGACCTGAATAATGGGTGTATATCACCACCTCTTTGCTATACACTGCAGTGTATGGGTTTTGGTCCTCTCCATTCCTCTGATGGGCTAGCTCCCCAGCAGTGTTGCTATCTGTGCTCACCTGGGAAAACACATTTAGCCCAACTCTGCCTTGACTCTTTTTTTTTTTTTTTTTTTTTTGAGATGGAGTCTTGCTCTGTCACCCAACTTGGAGTGCAATGGTGCAATGTCTGCAAACTCCATCTCCCAGGTTCAAGCAATTCTCCCACCTCAGCCTCCTGAGTAGCTGGGATCACAGGCGCCTGCCCCCATGCCCAGCTAATTTTTGTATTTTTAGTAGAAACAGGGTTTTACCATGTTGGTCAGGCTGGTCTTGAACTCCTAACCTTGGGTGATATGCCTGCGTCAGCCTCCCAAAGCGCTGGGATTATAGGCGTGAGCCACTGCACCTGGCCTGCCTTGACTATTTCAAGAAGGCAGCTTCCTAAAGGTGTCCAAATTGTACAATTCTAACAATGGCCAGGGGAGGAGGTATTGAGTAACTGTGACCCCAGACACACAAGATGAGCTGATTGTATTGCCACTGTCCTCTGCCAGTCTGGAAGTGCTTTGAGAGGTAGGAAGGAGTAGGAAGGAAAAACAGTATGGAAATATTTTGGGAGATGAAAAGGAGTGAAGAGGTAGAGATACTTCATAAAAAATAGGGCCCCAAAGCTCAGACACACAAAAAAGTGAGTACCATCAAGGCGGAGAGATTTTAGCTGAGTGATTCCACTGTCTTGAGTCTCTTAACTCATTTTGTCCGAGGGGCCAATATTTTGAAAATTTTACTCCTTTTTGATAAAAATGAAGGAACTGCATTCTCCTAAAGCTCAAGTTTCTCTAATGAGCAAGTGAGGCATTTTGGAAGCTGACGTGTCTGTGGTCACTTAGTTTCCTCTGGTTCAGGTCCTCATGTTCTAATGAGAATAATCCATGTCGTTTCTGGTATCTTAGAAAGTTAATATCTCCCAAAGTGCCCAGAAGATGTCCAAGAAATGACTGGAAAATTACTAAAATGTCAGGAAGACATGACCTGAAATTTCTCTTATTTATAGAATGAGAAAAAAAGAATATACTGAAAAGCTCCTTCCCATCATCCAGGACAAAGCCAGGTAGAAAGCTATATAAAACCTAAAAGAGCAAGCCAGGCTCTAGGCTGGGAGCTGCATTAAAACTCAAAGTTAGGGTTACCCACTTGTTTGGAGGAAAGAGTGCTGAGCTGAGGGGGAGTAGTCCTGAATTCTGGATTGGCTCTTAGTCATGTAATTGTGTCCAAGGCACCGCGCTGTGCTTTAGCTTTCTTTTTCTACAATAGGGTTCGGCCCATTTCTCAGTCTCACATGAGGATAGAATGCAATTATAGATGTGTAAGTGCCTAGTAGGGAATAAAGTAATGTATGTATCTGTATATATATAAATAGCATGGGATTTTCTTTTTTTCTAAAAGTGAAACTCGTCTTCATAAATTATTTAAGCCTCTCTGCTGCATCCACCCTTTGGAGAAAAAGATGGAAGAGAAAATACTCCCAAAGCCCAAAATGCTTCTGATGCTTATAAATGGGCTCTACCATTTGGTTGTCTGAAAGCTGAGACTAAGCTTGAGAGAGAAACATGCTCAGGAGCTCCACAGCAGAGAAATTCTGCAGGAGCCCTACTCATTCTTCTGGTTGTAAAGAGCTCTTTTCTCCAAAGAGCACAAGAGCAAAGAACTTAAGTGTGGAAGTCACAAAAGCAGGGAAAATTACAGCATGGCCCTGAGAAGGGAACTAGGTCAAGCTGCTCTCCCTCAGAGAGGGGTAGTGTCTGTTCCCAGGACAGCTCAGGCTTCATGACACACAGAGACAGAAGCATGCTGGGAGCATGGATGGCTCTGAGAGTATATGGTGGACAAGGAGGCATAAACCATGAGCACTTTAAGAAAAACTGCTTCGTCTCTCTAGCTTTTATTCTGTGTTCTATTTGTCTCTACCCAGTGGCTCTGGTCTCAGTGACTTGGTGTCAGTGCTCAGGCCCAAGGGGCCCAACCCCACAAATAAGCGTTGCCTGATGCTACCTGATAAAAATGAGAGAAGGCTGGCATGTGTCTCAACACTGTTCCCTCTTATGTTATCTTAACCAAAGCACAGAGGACACACATAACTGAGAGAGCCATCAAAACCAGAGTCTGATTCAGGAGGTGCTCCTTCCCCTAACTCTAGGCACCAGAGAGATTAATTCAGAAACGACTCAGGGTGCAAAAGGGTGTGAAAAATGCCATGCTGGTTCATGCAAATGGTCCCTTTTAGCTCTGGTCTCTTAGGAGGGAACCACAGGAGAGCAGAGGCAACCCCCTGTTGTCCCTGGCCAGCTTTGGATAAACGGGAACAGATTGGTCATCATCCGAGATTTTACCTGGAGTCTTCATGAATCGCTTCTTCTGGCCTGTCAAAAAGCAAGTGCAGGTTTGGATGGCAGGGAACAAAGTTGACGAGGAGGCTGAACACTGCATGAAGAGAGGACCAAGCCAATGAGAGAACAACGGCAGCAACAGAAAACCAAACAAACCCTGCAACAGACCTGACGGGGGATGAGTCGCTGGACGTGGATGAGGTGGGCATAGGGCTGGATGGCGCCGAGAACATGGGCCAAGATGGCGAGAGGGGTGAAGTTGGGCTTGGATTCGGGGGGCTGCAAGACATAACAACCAGAAAACTTGTCAGCACACAGGGAAACCACAATGGGAGCACAGGAGGTCATGGGAGGCCAGATGACGGAAAGCTGGGCAGAGCAGAGGAGCACTGACACCCAGGGACGTGCTGTTAGGGCCATGTCACCTTCCTCCAGACCAAACCTCCGTGTCCAAGTAACGCCTGCTCTGTAATTCCTCGGAGCATAAACAAGCTTTGCCCTGCAGAACAACTGCTTTTCAGGTGATAGAAGCTTCTTCGATCATGTCCATTGGTGACAAATGCCCTGAGCCCATGCACATGAGTTCCACACCCACCTCCTATCACCAGCCTTGTTCTGATGCAGGGCTAGCTTATAATGGGCCTTCAGCTTCCACTGTTGTGGGAGTGTTTTTCAAGTTATGTCTCAGCAGAAATGACCATTTTTTTTTCCTTTTGGGCCACAAAGGCCATTCAGTGAGAAAATAATTTCCTGTTTGCATTTTTAACTAGATGGACTGTGTGCCACTGGAGATCCGAAGTACTGCATGAAGACAGCGATAGCCGATGGACGTGAATACGGACACATCTCTTGGGAGGCGGTGTGCAATTACCAGCAGAAGGCGGTTCCTCTGAGGTTTACTGCCCAGGCTTGCCCTTTCTCCTTTCGTGGAATTTGGGCATTATGATGCTCAAAGAAAAAGCCCCAGAGGGAAGGCAATGAAAAAAATGAACTGAAACCTTCAATTTGCCCATTTTGTTCTTTGACGGGTGGCTAATCAAAAGTTTGGAGAGGAAAGGTTGAAATTACTCTCTGAAATGTGGCTTGTGGATTTTAATTGGTTGTGCTAGCCCTTTGACTTATTTCCACAAATTACACAAGCACCTTCACAACTCTGAAATCATAAATCACAGTGCAAACACCAATGGCTGACAGAAACCAGTTCAGCCACACCACTTGCCTCCCCTGAATCTCAGCTGACTGCTGGACTGTTTGAACCAAGCATTTCATGGGGGTGAAAATGACAGAAATCCAGTTCAAGGGGAACACACTTTCTAAGCGTACCACAATGTAGCAAGAGCACAAAAATATCCTGCTTACTGGGACTTCCCTAGGGTTATACCAATTCAGACATGAGACCCCATAATAGCCCCAATTACCTACTGTTGTAACATAAACAGCTATAGACAAATAACAGCAAAAACCACAGTGTGAGTACATCAGAGAGGCTCAAACCAATGTGACTGATAAACAGTTTGTTCAATTCCATTATGCATATTATATTTCTAGAATACAAATTCCATGAGGAAGAGGCTTTTGTTTTGCTTACTGCTATATATCCAATGTCTAAAATAGTGTCTGTAGGTATTATATTTAACAAGTCATTATTGAGTAAATTAATGAATCTCATTTACCCACCTGATAAGCTCACAAACAGGTACTACTATAATTCTCATTTTGCAGATGTGGAAACCTAAGCTGAGGCCTCCCTAAGGATGCCCAGCCTATAAGTGATAGGGCTGAGGTTCAAACCCCATCCGCCGAATGGAAGCCCAGGGCTCTGGCAGCCAGTGCACTGCCTCTGAGATAGCAGGACTTGCCCTGCTCCTCTAGGCTGTGCCAAGTTTTTTACAGACTCAGTCATAGCATTAGAATTCTTCTTAACCACCGATTCATGGGTTTCCTTTAGACACCTACCCTATTTGCAAGGGAAAATGAGAATACAGTGACAGAATCACAGTAAGACTCAACATCTTGCAAATTCCAACAAAATCCCCAATCCTGCCTCCAGCATTCGGTCTGGTGGATTCATACAGCAGACAGAATTCATATAAGAGAATAAATAAAATTTAGAAAGTATGACTTTTAAAACAATTTTTTCTTAATCCAGCAAAAACTAGTCATGGAGCACTTAGCATGTTCAAGACAGTAAGTGCTATTTGCCAAGATCCCTTGACTTCAAGAGCTTAAACTGTATTTGACAAGAGGCAACAGATTTAAAAACAACAGTAATGTAAGACAGTAAGATCCATCAGCTGAGGGCTATTATTAGCTTAATACCTGGCTCCCACTTGACTCTGTCTCCAGTCCTAGGAAAAGTGTCAGCTCCTTTCTACTGTGCAGTCTCCATTTTCTCCCACAGTTGCTGCTAGTCAGAGAAGCCTCACTTTCTCAGCGCTCACACCACAACCCCACCCCTCCAGACAATGACCTAGTAGAACAACCTAGTAGGCAAGGCCTGGCAGCAACTTTCAAACCACAGCCCAGCCCAGGGACAATTTGGAGGTTCAAGACAACAGCCCAGACCCAGGGGCTTGTACCAATCTGTTCTTTTGGTCAGTGGTTACCACGGGACAATTAAGAAGTCCTTCCAACTTTTTTTTTATGACTTTAATAAATAGGAAACACCTCCAGCTTCCTAGTCCATCTGTACCAAGAATTATGCCTTTGGCTAATGGCATAGTTGGGAACATACTCTGTGAATACAATGTGGGTTCTAAATGTTTTTCACATCCTCAGATATCTAAGTGGTTCTTGGCCAGAAGTACATGGCTGGAATTACCTGGGGGTGCGGCTGGAATGCAGGGTATTCGTAACTATTATAAGAACTTACTCCTTAATCCCTGTGTCAATTGCCATAGTATCAACTGCAATTATTATTAATATTATTATTTTTTTGAGACGGAGTTTCGCTCTTGTTACCCAGGCTGGAGTGCAATGGTGCGACCTCGGCTCACTGCAATCTCCACCTTCCGGGTTCCAGCGATTCTCCTGCCTCAGCCTCCCGACAGCTGGGATTATAGGTGCCCACCACCACACCTGGCTAATTTTTTGTATTTTTAGTAGAGATGGGGTTTCACCATGTTGGTCAGGCTGGTCCTGAACTCCTGACCTCAGGTGATCCACCCACCTCAGCCTCCCAAAGTGCTGGGATTACAGGCGTGAGCCACTGTGCCCGGCCTCAACTGCATTTTTTAATAACAGAATTTCATTTGTTTATGTTTTAGCCATAGCAGTAACATTTGCTATAAAGTGACCACATTGTATCATTTGATACCACCGTATTTTAATTGGTATAATAATAAAATGCATACTCCATAGTACTTCAGTGGTTTGTTTTTTAATTATACTTTAAGTTCTGGGATACATATGCAGAACATGTAGGTTTGTTACATAGGTAGACATGTGCCATGGTGGTTTGTTGAACCCATCAACCTATCATCTACATTAGGTATTTCTCCTAATGCTATCCCTCCCCTACCCCCAGCCCCTGACAGGCCCTGGTGTGTGATGTTCGCCTCTCTGTGTCCATTTGTTCTCATTGTTCAACTCCCACTTATGAGTGAGAACATGTGGTGTTTGATTTTCTTTTCCTGTGTTTGTTTGCTGAGAGTGATGGTTTCCAGTTTCATCCATGTCCCTGCAAAGGACATGAACTCATCCTATTTTGTGGCTGCATAGTATTCCATGGTATATGTGTGCCACATTTTCTTTATCCAGTCTACCACTGATGGGCATCTGGGTTGGTTCCAAGTCTTTTCTATTGTGGATAGTGCTGCAATAAACGTATGTGTGCATGTGTCTTTATAGCAGAATGATTTATAATCCTTTGGGTATATACCTAGTACGGGTATTGCTGAGTCAAATGGTATTTTAGTTCTAATCACCACACTGTCTTTCACAATGGATGAATGAATTTCCACTCCCACCAACAGTGTAAACAAATTCCTATTTCTCCACATCCTCTCCAGCATCTGTTGTTTCCTGACTTTTTAATGATTGCCATTCTAACTGGGGTGAGATGGTATTTCATTGTGGTTTTGATTTATATTTCTCTTATGATCAGTGATGATGAGCTTTTTTCCATATGTTTGTTGGTCACATAAATGTCTTCTTTTGAATAGCGTCTGTTCATATCCATTGCCCACTTTTTGATGGGGTTGTCTGTCTTTTCTTGTAAATTTATTTAAGTTCCTTGTAGATTCTGGATATTGGCCCTTTGTCAGATGGATAGATTGCAAAAATTTTCTCCCATTCTGTAGGTTACCTGTTCACTCTGATGATAGTTTCTTTTGCTGTGCAGAAGTGCTTTAATTAATTAGAATCTATTTGTCAATTTTGGCTTTTGTTGCCATTGCTTTTGGTGTTTTAGTCAGGAAGTCTTTGCCATGCCTATGTCCTGAATGGTATTGCCTAGGTTTTATTCTAGGGTTTTTATGATTTTAGGTCTTATGTTTAAGTCTTTAATTCATCTTAATTTTTGTATAAGGTATATGGAATGGGTCAGTTTTAGTGTTTTGCATATGGCTAGCCAGTTTTCCCAACACCATTTATTAAATAGGGAATCCTTTCCCCATTGCTTGTTTTTGTCAGGGTTGTCAGAAATTAGATGGTCGTAGATGTGTGGCATTATTTCTGAGGCCTCTGCTCTGTTCCACTGGTCTATATATCTGTTTTGGTACCAGTACCATGCTGTTTTGGTTACTGTGGCCTTGTAGTATAGTTTGAAGTCAGGTAGTGTGATGCTTGTAGCTTTGTTCTTTTTGCTTAGGATTGTCTTGGCTATATGGGCTCATTTTGGTACCAGATGAAATTTAAAGTAGTTTTTTTCTAATTCTGTAAAGAAAGTCAATGGTAGCTTGATGGGGATAGCACTGAATCTAAATTACTTTGGGCAGTATAGCCATTTTCATAATATGGATTCTTCTTATTCATGAGCATGGAATGCTTTTCCATTTGTTTGTGTTCTCTTTTATTTCCTTGAGCAGTGGTTTGTAGTTCTCCTTGAAGAGGTCCTTCACATACCTTGTGAGTTGTATTCCTAAGTATTTTATCCTCTTTGGAGCAATTGTAAATGGGAGGTCACTCATGATGTGATTCTGTTTGTCTATTACTGGGTGTATAGAAATGCTTGTGATTTTTGCACATTGATTTTTGTATCCTGAGACTGCTGAAGTTGCTTATCAGCTTAAGGAGATATGGGGCCGAGATAATGGGGTTTTCTATATATACAGTCATGC